TCTGCCACAAATTCCCCCAGCTGTGAGTCTTCCAACCTTCTAAGTATTCCTTTATATGTGGTTCAGAGTTCTGGGACCATCCCCTGAGCCTGCTTTGTCGGGTATTCTGTGTTGTTGTTGGCGGAGCTCTCTGCTATACGTCCACCCGATCCGCCATCTTGTTTGTTCTCTCTCCTTCAGCATTTCTTAATGGTATACTTGAAAAATATGAAGATATTTGTCTAGTAACAATTGGCACTTAATCAGGGCACAGTCCTGGGTGGTACTAATGGTTAAGTACTTATAACTGTTAACTGAAAGGGTGGTGATTTGAACTTAGAGGCATCATGTATTACAGGCCTGGTATGGAGCCCTGCTGTGGCACTGTACGATAAGCACTGAACTGTTAACTGTTTAGTGGTTCAAACTCACCAGCTGCTTTTCAGAAACCCTATACAGGATCACTCTGAGTCAGAACTGACCCAATGACTCTTAACAACAGCATCAGTCTACTTCGGAAAGGCTGAGTCTTGGAAACTCCAGGGAGTAGTTCAACTCTGAACACCTGGGGCACAGTGAGTTGGAACTGAAAAACAAGTAGACAGCACATCAGATCTGTCTCCAATTGTAGTATTTCCAGGAGTACTTTGGTATAGCAATTGAAGCTAAAAGAACCAATCACATATGCAAGGTAAATTTCAGACAGGCGATCTTACCACTCCGTTCTATTTAGTTGAGGATGAGCACTCATTTGACTTCCACAGGCCTGTGAGGAGCAGGCGGCCTGAGAATACAAAAGCCTGGCTTTAAGCGTTTCCACTTAAGCAAACTCGTCACTTCAGTATTCTCACTTCCAAATTCAGGATAATAAAAGCATGTCTTTCTTGAGACTGTGGAGATTAAATGAAATTACCTATATCCCATTCAGTGTCGTCCTGCCCAGTCCTAATTTGTTACAATGCTATTTCTCCAAGCTCTGTATACTACTACACCAGTCAGCCAAGAAGAATGTGGTGGGTGGTCCTGTTCAGTCATGGTCTTTGATCATTGGACAAAGTCTGTTAAGAGCTTGTGCCATAGAGTCTGACACTCAGGCTGGGCTTTGCCTCTTAAGAGCAGTTGTGAGAACTTGACCTTTCTTAGGCAGTGGGAGCTTCTATTGACTCATGTATGTTGCCAGCTGCTCTTGGATTGGCTCCCAACTCACAAGAAAACACTGCCCAACCCTATGGTAGCTCCAGGATCCATTGCCGGTCAGACCATTGTGAACCATAGCGTTCTCACTGGCTGATTTTAGGAAGTAGATTGTCAGGTCTTTCTTCTTGAAACCTGCTTTGTTGTTGTTGTTGTAAAGTGCTGTTGAGTTGGTTCCAACCCATAGTGACCCTGTATAGGGTTTTCGAGGAGCAGCTGGTGAGCTTGAACCACCGACCTTGCAGTTCAAATGGCTTTGTGGTCTGGCGCATTAACCCACAGCATACCTACTTAGCATCAATAGAAACACACAAGCCTCCACTGACAGGTGGCTGGTGGCTGGGCTTGATGTGCACTGACCAGGAAATCGAACTCTAGTTTACCGCATGGAATGTGAGCATTCTAGCACTGAATCCACACTACCTCTTTGCACATCTATAGGATGGGGTCAAAATAATAATACATACTTCACAGACAGTTGTATTTGATGGTATGGTGCATGTGTCTGGCACACGTCTAATGTGAAATAAATACTAGCTACAATATTATTATTTTTGTTTTGCTACATAAACTGCCTCCCTGACAAGAAACTTATTGAAGGTAAGATGCCTTGGACACAGTAGTCACTCAGCCAATATTAGTTTCCTTCTTTGATTATGTGGGCTAAAGAACCATTTGCTTCTTCTCCTAGATTATCTCCTGAATAACTTTCTCAACTATAACCGCATCATTATTTTTGTGATCAACGACTTCATTCTGTCCTTACCAGCTGACCCAGAGGAGCCACGCATGAGGAACTTGTTGAACTTTGGACAGCTTCACCAGTTACTCACCCAACCTATAAATTAGCTGGAGAAACCTCAGGCTGTCAGTGAGACAAAAGATTTTAAACTAGAAAGGGAAGGATTGGTGAGGGCAAACCAGCTCCCAGCAGCTTGGCAGAGACACCAGCTCCACTGAGCTTGCAAGATGAGGTCATTTGCTTTCTCTAGGGAAATGAGTGACAGAGGAACAGGCATATGAGCCAATGGAGAGTGAGATCAGAGGGGATGTCCTTAATGCATTCCCCAATGGGATGCAGTTTTGCTTTTTTTTCTGCCTCTCTCTCTCTCAGAGCATTAGACCAACCACTCACTGGGAAAACAAGTGTTGGTGCCAGAGCTTTCAGTGGGTTCCAAGGCCACTCTTTCTGAGACAGGTACTTTAATCCTCCTGCTTTCAACTCAGGGTCATTCTGTACATACTAAGGGGACCTGGGGGTGTCTTGATGGGATCAAATCACAAGATGAACAGGCCACCACTTGGCTTGCTCCTTTCCTCCTTGGCAGCTAGTTATTGTTAGCTACAGAACTTCAATTTTATTAGAGCTATTTTGAGAAAGTTGTTGGGAGGTGATGTGAAACAGTGGCCAGTAAGGAGACAAGTGGCAGTCTTTCACTTCCGGGGAGCCAAAGCGGGCTCCCTTCCTCAGGTCTGCCTCTTGCTCAGATCCTTCCCTTCTCTTCTCTCTGCCCTAGCAACCCTGTTCCTTCTCAGCTAGCCAACTCACTGGGCACTATCAGATAAACTCACAGCTGTAGCAATGCCCATACTGCTTGAGAAATAATGGTAGCTTTGGAAACTTCAAGTCTCATAGTACGAGTACTTCAGGGCAGAGGGCACTGATAGTAAGTCTCACAAGTCAGCCCCTTCACAGACCCACCAACTTCTGAGAAAAGGCACATCTTACATGTGGGTAGCTGTGGTTTGTACCATGTGGCCCAATGCTCTGGCTATTGCTTTTTGAATAGGAAAGGGCAACTGTTGTAAGGGCAGAAGATTTATAAACTGCTATAGGCCAATATATGGGTCTGGTGCTTATATTTTGTCCAATAGTGATAGCATGTAGTTGATATTAAGGCTAGAGTCACCCAGCGCAGTAACTCATGGTCTCCCCACCCCATCCCTCCAGTGATCTCCTCCCATACCAAGGCCATGCAGAATCCTTAGTAATGTTTTTTTGTACAAATGCTACTCATTAATTGTAATTCCTGTATTTCATTGAATATAATGGTATTCAGGGAAAGGAAGAGTATATTACTAATTGGAGGGTGGACACATGTGAACTCGGGAAAAGGGGAAGGCAATATACAATGAGAGGCAGGTCAGCAAAAAATGATGGAAGCAGGGGAAGACACTGGGAAGAGTGCAAGAGTTAAAGGCAATAGACTTAAATAATCCTGCAACAATGGTGATCTATGTATAATGACATGCAGGAGAAGGAATGGTATTTTCGAAAGTTGGACAATGAATAAGGAAGATCATAAAAGAATCAATGCATTTGAATTATAGTGTTGGAGAAGAATATGGTAAGTGCCATGGACTGCCAGAACAAATAGGTCTGTCTGTCTTGGAGGACTAGTCAATACGCTCCTTGGAGGTAATGATGGAGAAATCCTAGAAAGACTTCTTTCACTTCAACTTACCTCTTGCTGTTTTATCATAACTAATCACTTAGGACACATGATCAATACGTGATATGTCAGGTGTGTGGTTGAACATGATTCTATAGTACCTTGCAGGTTCAGGTCCATGGCAAGCTTTTCTTTCACATGAGGTGCCAGAACTCATTCTGAGTTATTGGTGCAAGATAAGAGACTGATACTTCCAATTTACAGAAGCTCTGCCTTCATCTCATTAGGTTCTTTTTCAACAGTGGATCATACTTGAAAGCATCTCAACCACCTCAAGAAAGTTTCCTGGATTTAATAAAGACTCATCTTCCTTGTGGCTATGCACGACCAAATTCTGCTTGACAAGACACCGTGTGATGTCAAGTAATCTGTGCAAGTGTCCCTCCACCTCTTCTTTTTCATCTCCCTCAAAGCAATAGTTTAGGCATCAATGGTTCTGCACAGCCTCAGCCCTGCAGCCAAAGTTCTCCATTTTCCATGCCAGCACAAGTTCTCATATGGATGTTTCATATGTACTTCGGGCTCAGTTTCTACTACTTCTGAAACTCAGTCACAGGTTTGGATGTTGTATCTCTACCACTAGCAGCAAACAGCTGGCAGCAAAAACAGTATAAATTCTTCCTGACAAGTGAATCCCTGACCGCAGAATTTGGCTTCACCTTGTAGAGCCAGTCTTTTGAAAGCTGGTGCCCATCTATCTCCTTTTGCTTTTGCATCTTGCCTTCCCACAGCTCTGAATGATCCATCACTGTTCTGGAAAGAAGCACTTCCCCTTTTAATGATTTCAAACCGAAAATTATCTGGAACCGGTATCTCTCAGAAAAAAAACATACAAAATTGGACAATCTTCCTCTTTAACCTCACTCATATCTTTATAGCATCAGGACTAGAGTCATTTCCAGGACTGTCTTCTGCTTCAAACTCTGCTCTTTCTGCAGAATGCATGCTAGCATCAGAATCAGCTTTACCTGATGAGATGACAAGCATGTCTTTTGATGAGCCCTGGCCATCATCTGAACTTTTGACATATTGAAATACGGATACAGCAAGTGTTTTGAGTGATGTAATTCTTGTTTCTCTTGCCTTCCTTTGCTGACATCCACTTCACCATTTTGATTTATGCATTCCATGTGACATGGTGGAATATCCACACACAATTAAAAAATGATAAATTGACAATATTTGAAAAAAAAAAAAACTAAAATGTTAATCTAATGAATATGTTCTATCAAATATAAGTTTTAATGTCATTTTTAAAGCATAATTCAAATTTAAATCCTGAAATTTTTATTAAAATCAGATGTATATTTGCTATACAGTGATTTTTAAAAAAAACTTTAAAAAGGCTATTATTTGCAATGTTGTCCATAGCTTGTCATGATCCACATTATCAAAAGCTTTTGCATAGTCCATAAAGCACAAGTAAGCAAACATTTTTCTGGTATTCTCTGCTTTCAGCAAGATCCATTTAACGTCAGACCTGATTTCCCTCATTCCACGTTCTCTTCTGAATCTGGCTTGCATTTCTAGCAGTTCCTTGTTGATGTACTTACTGTTGCAGCCATTTTAAAATTATCTTTAGCAAAATTTTACTGGTATGTGATATTAATGATATTATTTGATGATTTCCACATTCTGCTGGATCACCTATCTTTGGAATGGGCACAAATACGGATCTCTTCCCATCAGTAGGCCAGGTAACTACCTTCCAAATTTCTTGGCAGAGATGAATGAGTACCTCCAGTGCTGCGTCAGATTTCAATATGTATCCTGTCAATTCCTGAAGCCTTGCTTTTTGCCAATGCCTTCAATGCAGTTTGGACTTCTTTCTTTAATACCATCGGCTTTTGATCATATGCTACCTCTAGAAATGGTTGAATATGGACCATTTCTTTTTGGTACCGTGAGATTCTGTGCATTCCTTCTATCTTCTTTTGATGCTCTCTCATTCAATATTTTACCCATAGAATCCTTCAATATTGCAAGCTGAGACTTGAATTTTTTGTCTTCAGTTCTTTCAGCTTGAGAAATGCTGAGCTTATTCTTTACTTTTGGTTTGCTAACTCCACGTCTTTGCACATTTCATTATAATACTTGAATTTATCTTTTTGAGCCGCCCTTTGAAATATTCTCTTCAGCTTTTTTACTTCCTCATTTCTTCCATTTGGGTCTAGTATCTCTATGCTGGATATGGAGTCTTAGTCTGATGCTTGGTGTGATGCTTGGTGATGAGAGGCAGGTGCTGGATAAGTCCAGGTTTGAACCACAGTGTTGATGGTTCAAACTCTCCAGTAGCTACTTGGAAATCCTACACTGGATTGCTATGAGTCAGAACCAGCTTGACAACACTTAACAACAACATGTTGATATGCAGATGATACAACCTTGTTGGCTAGAAGTGAGGAGGACTTAAAATACTGATTAAGATGAAAGATTACAGCCTTCAGTATTGTACATCCGTGTAAATAAAACAAAAATCCACACAATTGGACCAATAAATAACAGTGTGATAAATGGAGAAAAGATCACAGTTTTCAAAGACTTCATTTTGCTTGGAGCCACAATCAACATTCAGGGTAGCAAAAAATCAAATGCTGTATTGCATTAGGCAAATATGCTGCACAAGACTTCTTTAAAGTGTTCAAGAACAAAGATATCAGTTTGAGTACTAAAGTATATTAGACCCAAGCCATAGTATTTTCAATAGCCTCAGAGGACAATGAATAAAGAAGACTATAGAAGAATTTATGCATTTGAGTTACAGTGTTGGAGAAAAATATTGAAAGGACCATTGGCTTCCAGAAAACAAATAACTCTGTCTTGGAAGAAGTAGAACCAGAACACTCCTTAGAAGCCAGGATGGTGAAACTTCTGCTCTCATACTTCAAATATGTCAGAGGGGACCCATCCCTGGAGAAGAACATTATATTTGGTTAAGCGGAAGATCAGTGAAAAAGAGGAAGACTCTCAATGAGATGGACTGGCACAGTGGCAGCAGCAATGGGCTCAAATGTAACAACTGGTACAGGACTAGACAGTGCTTTGTTTTGTTGTGAATAGGGACGCTATGAGTTAGAACCAACTCGACAGCATCTAAGAGCATCATGACACATAGCATTTTCCCCTACTTTTCATGTTTTAAATGGTCAATTTCTCTACTTGATTATCTAAGAGCTATATAGTCAATAATCGTTATGCATCTAAGTTTATTTTCCATTTTAATCAGCATAGTATGTGCATAGTTGCAAATAACTTATAAGTAATATCTCTTAGATTATATGAATTCTTAAAAAATTGCTTTGGAAAATCTTTCTGCACTGACCTACAACATTGTTAATTAGTTATTGAGTGAAAGCCTTTGAAATTTTTTCTCCTTTTCCTTTAATTGTGATCCCATTCTCTAAAAGCTTTTGATATAGGTTAACAAATACTACTTGCCATAATATTATAGCTAAAACACAATAAAATCAGTCATTATAAATACAATAGCAGCAATGAATACAGTAGTGCATGCTAGAAAGTTGTGTAGATATCATGTGACTCTAAGCATCATTGTGATTGGGTAATAATGACAGCTCTAACCATTACAGGGATGCCTGGTGTGGTGCTGTAGGATAAACATTGGACTGTTAGCTCAAGGTCAGTAGTTCAAACCCACCAGCTACTCCTTAGAAACCCTACACAATGTGTCTATGAGTCAAATCCAAATGCTGGAGCCATGCTCACTGAACTCCTGCTGTACAGGGGGTGAGGGAAGGTGTTGGACCCTTAACAACTCCCTAGATCCCACACTGAGTGCCAGTCTTCAAGGGAGGTTCCTGAAATGCCAACTTCCTGTGTTTCCCTATGGCCCCTCACAAGGAGCCCCTGTTTTGTGTCAACCTCAATGTGTCCCTCTTGTTCACAACCTAAAGGACCTAATAAAGAATTCATTTGGTCGGCTTTACAGAGTAGGCGCCCCGATGATGCAGTGGTTAAGCACCTGGTTGCTAGCCCAATGATCAGTGGCTCAAACCCACCAGCTTCCATAATAATGACAGCTTTAGAAACCTGATGGGACAGTTCTACTCTGTCCTGTTGTTGTTGTTATGTGCGGTGGAGTCGGTTCCGACTCATAGAGAGCCTGTACAGGGTTTCCGAAGCTGTAAATCTTCACGGAAGCAGAAAGCCTCATCTTTCTCCTGCGGAACAGCTGGTAGTTTCAAACTGCTGACCCTGAGGTTAGCAACCCGATTCACAATCCCTACGCCACCAGAGCTCCTCTACTCGGTCCTAGAGGGTCATCATGAGTTGGAATTGACTTGATAGCGGCAGGATTTTGGGGTGTGTGTAGGGATTTCCAGACAAGGGAGTAGAGGTTAGGAGACCAGAGCCAATTCACAGGTTACGTACGGAACCAGTACATGTGTCCTTATCTGGAAACAATGTTCTCCAAGGTTCAGGGTGGTGGCAAGGACTAAGGTGGGGAAGGTGGAAAGGAGAGCTGATTTCCAGTGAGAATGAAGAGGAGAGGAGATGAGTTCAGTTGCACAGATATCTGTAATGTTGTCGTACTTAACAAGTTTCTAAACATCAAGAATTGAGTTCTAAAGGACTCACAGGTCATGCTCTCTCGATGGCTCCAGTGGTTTCTGGGGACAGAGATTGTAGCTCTGCTGCCTTTGTTTACCTTGTTTACTTCACCAAACTTCTCTACACTGTGCTCATAGAGAAACGCGGTTGGTGAAAGGGGAGAGAATGAGAAGAAATCTTTCCTAAAATGCGTACTTTCTTATTTGCTATGGGTTCTAAAGGCCAACCTGTGGCTAATGCCCCTAGAGGCCTTGATGCCCACAACATGGCACTTAATGGAGAGAAGAGCTGAATGGATGTCCTCTTTATCTGAGAAACATCTTCAGTAAAGGTCTGATGCTGAGAGATTGCAGACCTAAGGGGAGGAGCTTTAGGGCCAAACTTCCACCCAAATTCACAGCTCCGTGTTCTCTCCTGGCAGGCCCATGGATGTAATGCAGATTGCAGTTGTTGGGGCAGGTGTGGTTGGGCTTTCCACAGCGCTGTGCATTTCCAATGTGGTCCCGAGGAGCTCCGTCACAGTGATCTCAGACAAGTTCACGCCGCACACCACCAGTGATGTTGCAGCTGGAATGCTTATTCCTCACACTTATGCAGGTGAGAGAGATTTCAGCTTCTGCTGTTAGAATGGAAATTGATGGGATTCTGTTCACAAAGACTGCTGGATATGGCAACAATTTTAACATCTATGTTCATTTCTTAGTGCTTCTGCTACAGAAATACCATTATGGATGGCTTTAAAAGGAAAAAAAAAATAATTTTCTCACAGTTTGCGAGGCTAAAAGACCAAACTTAGGGCACTAGCTGGAGGGAAAGGCCCTCTGTTTGCTCTGGTCCTTGTCTTAACCCTGACCTTCCTTACTTCCTTGGTTCTTACGTGTGCGTCTGCCTTTCTCAGTTTGTGTTTCTCATTACTGTGTCTGCTTGCTCCTCCATCTGTGCTGCTCCTTATAACTCGGAAGTGATGAGATTTACGACATACCCTACACTGATATGGCCTTATTAGCAAAACAAAAATTCCTCATTCCTAAACAGGATTACAGGATATGGCCTTATTAGCAAAACAAAAATTTCTCATTCCTAAACAGGTATAGGATCCAATCCATATGGGACATAACTCAATCCATAGCTGCATCCTATTGGGTTGTCTCTTAGGAAAGGCCCAGTTGTCTTGAAGGAGAAAAACAACCAACAAATGTATCGATAGAGCATTGGTAAGGGTTCTGCTCATCTCTTAGGGATCCAAGGTGATGGAGCCGCTGCCATCTTGAATGTCCTCAGTAGCTGTACCTCAAGAACTCTGGAGAGTCTGGTGTCAGTAATACAATGTAATCATCATCATCATCATCCATTGGAAGAGTGTGTCCCTTCTGAAGGAGGTTAAAAGTGCAATTCTATAAACATCATAGAAGATGGAGAATCAGAACTATTTAGTGAACAACACTAATAATGACCACATTATCACAGTAATGATAATTCTCTTTCCATTGGCACCAGTAATGACCATAAAGTTAGAGATTGCTTGTAATGGGACTAAAATGATCCTAACTTCTAAGTCAGTACAAAAACAGTCAGTAGATATCTAGGTCTGAAGATGCATAAATTGTTTAGCATGTCCATGCATCGTTTCTAGTCCTGTTTTCTTCACATGAGATGGGCAAGGGTGGGAAATAGTACCAAACAAACCAAAGATCACTTTGCAGCATATGAGATACATATTCATTGCCTCATTTCAGTTTCTCTTTTTCCTTTAAATTTAAGGTCTTTTTATAAAAAGAAGTTATACATACACATGGTTTAGATAGTCAGTTTACAAGAGTTTTTTTTTTTGTTTTTTTTTTTAAACCTGCTAGCAATATGGAATATGACAATTGCCTTGCCCTTTTACTAGGGAAACTTGTGGCCTGTGGTTCAGAAAGCGGTATTAGAGTTGCTCATTTGCTGGCGTGGCCCCGTCTGATGTGCATGTCTCGCTCTCTGGAATTGCTGTAGTCTGCATCTCTTAGACAGGCCCTCCAAATCTCTTAGCTTCTCCCCGGACTCCCTCCTATTTCTACCTCTTTTTCATTTGCTTTAGCTTTCTGGGATATTTCCTCACTTTTATCTTCCTATTAAATTTCTAAATATCGACTCCAATTTTTTTTTTATGTTATGTAACTTTTTTGTTCTCCAAATTTCCCTTTTTATTATCCTGTTTTTATGATTTGATTGCAGTATCTTTTCTTCTCTTTCTGAAGATACTAATAAAGTTTGTGTTTCTTCTCTCTGTATAGTTTCTGTTGCATCTTTCTGTTGGATGTTTTTGTTGCCATTTTTCACGTTGGAGTTTTCCTTGGCTGTGTGGTAATTTTCACCTGTCTGCTGACATTTAAGAGCAGGACCTGAAACAGTTGATGGGAATTTCTGAGCACTTACTTAGGGCTTGTTGCCTGTGGGCCTTTCTGTAGTCAAGACGGGAGATCATTTAGTTGGGGCACCACTAATGTCATTATATTTAAGTCATTTTTTTCTTGTGCTGATCTTGTTCCCCAAATAAAAGGATTCTGTTTCCTGGCTAGCAAGGGTGATATCCTGGATTCCAGCATTCTAGAAGGCAAAGACAGAAGAGGGGTGGGGTCTTAGCATGCAGTTGACATGTATTTCCTTAGCCCTTTTATTTTCAGTATGGCATCCCTGCCCTCACTTCAGCTTGATGTTTCCTAGTCCAGAGACTCCCTGTTTCACCTAACAGAGAAAAAAATCCAACTTATTCTAGAGTGGGAAAGGTAGCCCCCATGGCTTTATAGGTTCAGGAATTTGGTTTTGTTAACACTGATGAAGCTGGTGCACCCCTTGAGACCTTCTTTTCAGAAGCTATATAAAGAACCTGCTGTGCTTTCCAGATGTTATTTGTCTGGGCACCTTGTACATGACCTGAGTTCTCATGTGCATTTTTCAGGAGCCCCCTTGCTCACACCAGGCCTGAGTGAGTGGTCAGAAGGTTGCTGGTAGTCATGGAATCATCTTCAAAGAAGATTCATCAGAGTGCTTATTCAGATCACCCAGGCTAGAGTGCTCTCTTTGTGGCCAGGGGGCGGGTTCTCCTGAACCAGTATTCATGGCTGAGAAATCCAGCTGACCTACAGTTGATACTTAGGATAAAAGGTTTGGGGTCCCTTCCTGGGGGTGGGTTAATGAAAACATGATGAGTCACAAGGGGAGATCCAGGGAACCTACCCTCCTGAAACAAGGGAGTAGGGTCTGCATTGTGGGGGTGAGCTTCTGGGAAAGACCCTGCTGGCTTTCCCAACCAGAGCTACCATTTCTCTACAGCTCTCCACACCATGGGATCATGGACCAGCCAAGAGCAGCATTCTCTCGGCCAGCCAAATGCCACCTCTCCCTCAGAGTCTGTGTGTCAGGGCACCCCAGTCTCCTGATAGCTACACAGCAGTGGGTAGAGCAGGACTAGCTACAAGGGTCTTTTACTGTATTAAACATGAATTAGATCGATAGACTTGCTCTAACCAGTTGAACTGGAATCATCTGATCTTGGGAATGACTTTGGCAACATATGAATCTCAGCCACTATTTGGGGGCTCTGGAGTAGAAACAAGGAACCTGGTGATGCAGTAGTTAAGCACTTGGCTGCTAACTGAAAGAGATGGTTTGAATTCACCAGTCATTCTGCGGAATCAAAATGTGGTAGTCTGCTTCCATAAAGATTACATCTTGGAAACCCTAAAGGGCAGTTTTTCTCTGTCCTTTAGAGGTGCCATGAGTTAAAATCAACTTGTTAACATTAAGTTTGGTTTGGTTTTAGGATGGAAACAGGGGATGATTTCAGTACAACTCCAATACATTAGCGTAGATTGCTGGAGCTCATGAATATGAGGTCTAATTTAGCTTGCTCTGCAACTCATTTATTTCTTCATTATTTTCAAATCAACAGTCTGAGTCTGCAGTTTGGGAATACATTGTTAAGTCCAAGTGGGCACACGTTAAAGGCAGAACAGATCCACTGCTACAGAAATAGTTACTGACTCTATAACAAGTCAATTGTTTTAAAACCCTGCTACTGAAATGTTCTCATAGACCCGAAAACTGTGTCTGGAAGCACAATTATCTGCAGGGCCTTTCCAGCTCTACTGTGAATTCCAGGGGCATCTCTTCCAGCAGCTCTTCCAGGAGCTCTGGTAGCGTAGTGGTTACGAATCGGGTTGCGAACCTTAAGGTCAGCGGTTCAAAACTACCAGCTGCTCCACGGGAGAAAGATGAGGCATTCTACTCCTGTAAAGATTTACACCCTCGGAAACCCTGTACAGGGTCACTATGGGTCGGACCGACTCAACGGCACTTAACAACAACAACTCTTTCAGCAGAGCTGACCCAGTTTGCTGTTGGCTGCAGTCCCTCATCTCCTCTGTCACTATCCCTCCCATAATACCCCCTCAGGGTTACAGGTGATTTATTTCTGTTCTCCATCCTGACCCTTTCACAAAGATCAGACAACCAAAGACACCACCTAGAGCTGGATTCATTGGTGCTCTGGATTATGCTTGTTCTCTGTGCCCACATGGACACGTGCATTTTTGTGTTTGAACTTTGCCCCTTATGTCCTCACTGACAAGCCTGGCAGTCTTCCAGGTGCTGTCTGGGTCTAACCCCTTGTGTTCTGACGAGGATGCCTGGGGCCTGGGGAGTGTTGAAACACAGAGTTTGAGGGAGAGGTGGCATTTGGCTGGCCGAAAGAACGCTGCTCTTCACTGGTCCATGATCCCATGGTGTGGAGGACTGTGGAGAAATGGTAGCTCTGGTTGGGAAAGCCAGCAGGGCCTTTCCCAGAAGCTCACCTCCACAATACAGACCCTACTCCCTTGTTTCAGGAGGGTGGGTTCTCTGGACATCCCCTTGTCACTCATCATGTTTTCACTACCTCATCCCCAGAAAGGGACCCTTAGCCTTTCTCCTAAGTATCAACTGTGGGTCAGCTGGATGCCTCAGCCATAAACTAACTTATGTTGAGGTTGGTCACCAACACTTTGAAGACCTCTGGAATATACCTAGCCCAACACTCACCTTCTATCTGACTTCCCATGTTACATTTACTCCAATTGGTTGATTTCTCCTATGTAGTTTGTTATCTGAGTAGATGCAAATAAAGCTCTGGTCTCTGATGGATTCTCCACTGTGATTTAGTACTTTTAAATGCTTCTTCCTGAATATTTTATTTCCCAATTTCTAGGATGGAGTTTATCTGAAGTGGAGTAATTATCATCATTTTCTACTCTGTCCCACTTTGCTTTTTCCATGACTGTAGATATATCTGTTCACAAGCAGAAGCAATGGTTTAGAGAGACTTTTGATCACCTGTTTGCAATCGCCAATTCCTCAGAGGCTGGAGACGCTGGTGTTCATCTGGTGTCTGGGTAAGAGAGGAAATCAAAAGTTATTTTAGAATTTCAATTACCTTAACAAACACAAGAGCTCAACATAAAATATTTATAGAGTGTCTTCTGTCAGCAAAGTGCTGAAGTAGGAGGAATTAGAAAGAACGCTTTAGGCTTTACTCCAAAGAATTTAGGAAAGACGAATTATGGTATTCCACTTTGTAACAACAAACAACCATTATGGCTTCTCATCACAAATACCATTATAAGTTTCCTCAGGGAATATGCACTGATTTGCAAATACAGCCACGAAACTACATAACAGACAAATGCTGAGTTTGGGTTATATGGACCCAGTGAAGCAACGTGTAGTGATCGTTGGACCAGGTATATTCCAGAGGTCCTCCAAGGGTTGATGACCAACCTCAAAATAAGTTAGTTCATGGTGGAAGCTGATGATCAACAGCTGGTCTACAGTTGATAGCGTGTTTTCAGAGCTCAAGAACGAGGACAGGGCTGGGGACGCAGCTTTGCCAGTGTCAAGTTTATAGATGTTGCTGATGCTTTGAAAGACTGCAATCTAGCTCAGGGAGACTATGCAGAAGGAGACAGACAGAAGGAAGGCCCAGTGCAGCACACCAGTCACAGCTTACACAGGGACTGCTTTGTTTTCTTGCTTTTCAATAGCACTTTATTGTGTTAAGAAAGTTTACACATTAAGTCAAGTTCCCATTGACGATTCCATGGAAGTTGTTCGGTGACATTCATTACATTTTTCGCAATGTATCAACATTCTCTTCTGTTGTGTTCTGATTGTTCTGTAGGATAAGCACTAGACTGCAAACCACAAGGTTGGCAGTTCGAGTCCACCAACCGCTCAGCAGGAGTAAGAGGGAGCTTTCTGTTCTCACAAAGATTTACAGCCTTAGAAACACTATACAGGTCTCTATGAGTCAGAACCAACTCGTCGGCACTTAACAACAACATGAGACCAAAAGGTCAACATTTACTCTAAAGCAAAAATGAAAAGATAAAGAGGCAGGGAAACTGTTGTTGTTTTTAAGTGTCATTGAGTCGGTTACGAATCATAACAACTCTGTATAGGGTTTCCAAGGAGTTGTTGTTAGGTGCCACTGAGTCGGTACCGAGTCATAGCGACCATATGCACAGCAGAACGAAACACTTCCTGATCCTGGGCCAATAGCACCACTGTTGGCACACTTGAGTCCATAGATGCTGCCACTTGGCTAATCTATCCTCTTTTTCTGTGACTCTCCACCTTACCAAACATGATATCCTTCTCCAGTAACATGTCCCTCCTGACAATATGCCTGAAGTATGAGAGATGACGTTTGGCCATCTTGGCCTCCAAGGAGCACTCTGGCTGCACGTCTTCCAAAATGGATCTATTGGTTCTTTTGGCAGCCAATGGCACTTTCAATATTTTTCACCCCAACATAGAGATTCTGTTCAGCATGGAGGGTTACGGTTAGTCTTTTGATGTTTTGTTTACAATGTATACAAAGCATTGTGCAAAACAGAACATCTTTCCCTCAGAAAGTCATTTGATGTTGTTGTGTGCCGTCTAGTCAGTTCTGACTAATATCCACCCTGGATAGGGTTTCCAAATAGCAGCTGGTGAGTTTGAACTGCCGACCTTGCAATTCAATCCTATGTTGTGGTCCAGTGGTTATCCAACAGTGCCACAATGGCATTGTTGTTGTTAAGTGCCATCAGGTTGGTTCTGACTCATAGTGACCCTGTCCTGGGTTTCTGAAGAGCAGTTGGTAGGTCCGAACCACCGACCTTGCTGTTCAAACTGACATTTCCTGCAGTGCAACACCAGGACTCCATAATTGTTGTTGTTGTGTGCTGTGGAGTTGGTTCTGTCTCATAGTGACCCTGTACAGGGTTTCCGAGGCTATAAATCTTTACGGGAGCAGAAAGCCTCATCTTTCTCCCACAGAACAGCTGGTAGTTTCGAACTGCCAACCTTGAGGTTAACAGCCCAATTCATAACCACTATGCTACCAGAGCTCCTTAGGACTCCATAATAGTCAGAAGTAAATAAGGAAAATCTGTGCAAAAAGTTTTAATACAAAGAAAATTAAATTCAATCATTAAAAAACCTGTTACTTTTAAAAAATGTCTTATTCTCCAAACCAGGAACATTTTAAATTCAAGTTTTGCCTTATCTAAACCCAAGAGCAGGGAAGAAATAGATTTTTTTCTCTTGACGTTAAGAGCAAGTGTACTTTCAAAAAATGCTTTGAAGATAAAAACCCATAGCACTGTGTGACAAAGAGTGAACAGTAGTACACATTATGGACTTGAGTTAATAAGAAGCTATCAATATTGGTTTATCAATGGTAACAAATGTACCAGAGGGGTGTTACTAGTAGGAGAAATGGATGCAGGGGGAGAGGAGAGGCATATAGAACTCTGTACTTTCTTCTTTGTGCAGTTTTCCTGTAAACCTATAAAAATAAAGTGTACTTAAAAAAAAAAGGCTTGGTAAGGAGCATAGGGAGTTCACTACCATCTGTTATTTCACAAGAATTCAGGAAAAATTTCCACCTAATGTGTTTGAGTTGGCAGATATTTCGAAATCTTCCTACCGAAGAAATACCATTCTGGGCTGACGTGGTTCTGGGATTTCGAAAGATGACTGAGTCTGAGCTGAAGAAATTCCCTCAACATGTGTTTGGCCAGGCTTTTACAACTCTGAAATGTGAAAGCCCTTCCTACCTTCCCTGGTTGGAGAAAAAGTGAGTTGAAATGGCTCTTTACTGCTTCTTTTTATCTGTCACAAGTCATTTCTTAGTTTATTCATAAAATACATGTTGAAAGTACTTCTGTGGTCCTTCAGAGCTCTTTTGGATTCTCTTGCAACAAATGGTTGTTGTTGTTGTTAGGAACCCTTGAGTAGATTCCAGCTCATAGTGACCCCGTGTGAATTGTCCCATAGGATCTCCTAGGCTGTAACCTTTACACCTGCCAGCACTATATTGGACACTATTTTGTGGTCCATAGGGTTCTTATTCGTTAAATTTTAGAACTAGATTGTCAGGTCTTTCTTCCTAGTCTGTCTTATCCTGGAATTGTTGCTGAAACCTGTCTCCCATGGCTGACCCTGCTGGTATTTGAAATGTCAGTGATGTAGCTTCCAGTAGCTTTGTTGTCATTGCTAAGTGCTGTGGAGTTGGTTCCGATTCATAGCAACCATGTATAGAGTTTCCAAGAGTTGACGGTGGGTTTGAACTGCCAACCTTGTGATTAACAATCCCATACTTATCCTACAGCACCATATCAGGACTCCAGTATCATAGCAGCATACAAGTCACTACAGTAGAACAAACGGACAGACACGAAATCAGCCAAAATTACGTTGAATTTGCATTTTGGCTTTGTTACTTAGGAAACTGGACAAGGCACATCAAAAACTTCTCTTTTGTTTAGTCTGGAAATTGTGGATTTGTTGTGATTTATGGAACGTTGACTCTTTCAGCCCCCAAGAACAATGTAAATTATTGTGTAAATGTTAGGACAAGGACTTGAAGAAAGCACTATCAATAGTGACCTGGTTCTAGCATTTAAATGTTGTTGTTGTTAAGTGCTGTTTGAGTCCATTCCAACTTGTAGTGACCTCATATAGGATTTCTGAAGAGCAGCTGGTAGGTTTGAACTGCCCACCTTGTGATTTGCAGTCCAGTGCTGATCCTACAGCACCACACCAGGAGTCCTAGGATAATTGATTCATATAGTTCATAAATTCCACAAATCTTTGTAGAGTGCGTACTAGGCATATGCCTAGTACTGTGCTGAACTCTGGTCAAAAAAGAAGGGTAAAAGTTGAGTGCTGAGTTAAGGCATTTATTGTCTATTAGGGTAGTTTTATCCAGATTCCTAACATTTGCTTTATCATTTGTCTCTTTCTCTTTCCTTCTCTCTACACACATGTCTCTCTCTTTTCAGAACTGCTTGTTGCAGACATGATGTTCCTTTATTCCTAAATGCTTCCATGTGTGTTCCCAAAGAACAAGGACACTGCTTGCTTCAAGTCCTTTTCCTGACATTTACACAATAATTTGCATCTCTTCCATAAATACAATACTGTTGTTGGTGTTACATGCCATCCAGTCAGTTTTTT